AGTTTTTAACAATATTTTTTATTTCGTAAATTTGATGTTCTTAATTTCTAAAATTAAATTAATTTATATAAACATGCTTGTTTTAGAAAATTTATCATTTTATCTATTGCTTTTAATTTTGGTCCTAGGTTTTCATGTATTTGGTCTAGTATGTTGTTTTCATTTTCTTGTGTTTTGTATTAACGAAATTTGGTTAAAATATGTTACGTAAGATCAATGACATTGATCAAACATGATGGAGGTTCCTCTTTGGCCATCAAGTATTCATGAGTAGATAGCTTTTTATAGGAAATCTATAAAAGTAACCGAATATTGAAATAAAAAGACTATGCATTTATTTAATGGAATTCTTCTTCTTCTTCTTCTTCGTGATATTCGACCTTCAAGACCTGATCTCCAGCATAATAGTCTCCAGTTTACTCTTTCTAATAATATTACTTCCTAGTCTTTTCTAATCTTACCCTTCTTACGACCTCTCTTATCCTATCTTTCTCTTGTAATTTTTGACATCCCATTTGACTTTTTTCTCGTGGAGTATTTTATTTTACTGTTCTCAGCCACAATTCTTCCTTACGCCATGCGTGTCCTGAACATATGAATCGTCTCACGATATCTTCTACTCGGGTGTTGATATAATTCTTTCATTTCTCTAATTTTTCTGATTTTCCAATCTCTAGTATTACATGGGTCATATATTATTTTGGTTTTTTTTTATTCAATATAATTATAAATAAATAGTATGTTGTTATAAGAAATTGACGACAAATCATAATTAAAAAATATTGGAAACCCTGACTATGCATCTGATATGTGGATAAATAATCTTGTCTTTATGGGTAAAATTTAACCCCGCACAGTTACACAATAACCTAACCATAATGCTCAAATGTTTATATTATAGTTATTGTTAGATTTATTCAATAAAATCTTATACAAAAATAATTTGTTGCCTATGTAATTTAAATATATATCCCATGAATACTCGATCAATTAAAATTAATAATTATTACTTTTCTTATTTTCTAATAAATATCTATAGTCTACATATATATTAAATCAACTAAAATAATGAATTCAGATACATTAGTGTGATATTTAATTTAATATTTCATAAATTAATATTAACAAGTATTAAATTTATGGTTGGAATCTATTTTGTATACGAATTCATTGAAATCAATAATTGAAATATGTAACTTTTGATTGCTTAGGTAACATATTTATGAAATATATTTCGAATATACATTTTTTGACAACATTTATATTATTAATTATTTATTTAGTTTAAATTATATACATTTAAGTGAAGGCCACTTTTACTACTTCTTTAAAAAATAAATCATTGAATTATATATGAGAAGTCAAGGTATCAAGAAGGCCGTTTGTGGATGAAAAATAATAAAGTTAAAAAAAACACATCTTATGAATCGATTAGTTTTAATTATTAAAATTCATAAATAAGTTGTATGTACCATATTACTTATTCAGTACTTCGCACTTACTTATGTCTTAAATAAACTAAATGTTTAGTATACAATGTTAATAAAATATTTGTTTAAATTGATTTTATAACTGTATGATCTTTGAATAAATAATCACTATTATAGTTTTATTTTCTACTAATCCGACATGTCTTCCAACAATTATAAAATTACCGTTACTGGTTACTGATATTTTGTTGTATTTCCAGTTCTTAAAATATCTGATTAAATATCCAACCACTTGATTCGCATCTATAGATCCATCGTCACAAGTTTTTTTGAAATTCAAAACTTAAAACCGGTAGTTATTAGCTTTTATAATTCTCAAATTTAATCCCATAAAAAACGAATTAAAAATATAAAATTAATTTTATCTGAATTCAATTTTGTACTCTCATATATTTATATTATTTTGTAGATTTGGTTTATTACAATAATATTTTTACCTATTTTAAAATGTAAGTAGGCACCTACTTAAAAACCCTCAACAAAATTATAGCTAAAAAAATAACAAGCTAGAAATCGTACCGTACTTCCACGTCAATTTGTTTATAACTACTAAATTCATATACCAGCTCTTAAAAGTTAAATTGTACAGAAGGTCTCAACCCATAAATTCATTATAAAATAAATAAAACGTGTAAGAGAATTATATTTATTTTTTCTTTAATACGATAAAATGATCAAATAAAATTAAAAATTGTTTTAATCTAATCTTAATCTTATATGCAAATAAATTACTATTCTTATATCACTTGTATTTGGAATAAAATTATTATTAACTTTTTTATTAATTTTAATAAAATTCGTTATAGTTCAATATCCATGTTAAAATAACATCTACAATTTTATTATCAATACGTAATTAAATGTATTACTATGTTTTTTAAATGGTATAGATATTACATTTTATCTCTTTTTTTTTTTTGATAATATTCGACCTATTATTATGAACTTCACGCATGTAATATGTTTAAAATTATTTATTGATTACTATAAATAAACACTAAAATATTTAAATAAATTTTTAAATATTATTTAATGAAAAAAAAATGATCTAAATAATCTAACCCAAAATCCAAATACCCAATAGATAAACATCTATGAACTATAATAGGTACCTAATGGCATAATCTACCTATTATATATACATATCAATGCATTAGTTAAATAATTATTAATATTTTTACAGTTGTGATTAAAATCAATTTTATTTAAACCACTTTATTATTTTATTATACACTTTATATATTATTATTTGACTTTTTGAGTTTTAAATTCTATCAATATTAAATTATACGTTCATTTGCAATTTAAAATTCAAATTTATCATATAATATTGTGTTTATATTTTAAATATTTCTCATTTACATGAAAATAATAAAATTAAACCATAAAAGTAATGTATCTATTGGTGTAGGTATTGAAAAAATGATTTGCCAAAGATTAATATACTTTCAATGTATATTTTTCCTGAACATGTGTAAGTACATTAAATAATATTATACCAATTATATATTGCCTATACATGCAAAATATATTCGTATTATCGTGTTCACATTGTGTCATACATATATACTGAAATAATAATTACAGTATTTAACTTATAACTATTTGTCCTACGTTACAATTTACACTCACTAATGACAAGTGACATATATGCTGACAAAATAATACATTCATTATTTTCCTTTATAATATTTGTTTGAACAATTTCATTATTTATTGATTAACGTCAATGATTTATTATGAACAACACGTTTGTTTGATGACTACGTGTACATCACACATAAATTTAGCGAAATTGTGCTTTTTCCAAATTTCCACTACATACAAAATACGATTTCGCCAAGTGAATGTGACATATAATAAACCAAATGATTCAAAGAGATATTAAACTTATATATTCTAATTTATAGAAGCTTTTAAAGTATTTATATTTTATACCTGCATAACAGACCCAAAATATATTCAATCAAATTTCTTTTCTTTTCCTTCATCCAAAAACTTTTTGTAAATTGTATTTATTGCTTAATTTTTTTTCCCCTAATACTTAAATGTACGTTACTTTACGTTTCTGAATTTTTTTTCACAGCATAATAGTATCATTGTAACTAGGTAGGTACCTAAACTATGCTTCGTAACTTTGACAATCAATAAATACTCAACTTTAAAATAAGCTACTGAAATTACAGAAACGTATGAAAAAGCTTTTTTTTCTGGTACCTACCAACTGCTAATAATATAATTAAAAAAATGTATGCAAAAAACAATCAACAGATGTAAAAAGGAAGCATAATTTGTCAAAAATTAAAAAATAAATAATACCTAAATTGTATGATTTCAAAAACGATTGCTGTTATATTATTATTTATACATATAACCCATTTCAAATTATTCATTAAATTATTCGAATAATTATTATTTTATATCAGTTATTACACTATCAATTAATCTACTATGGTCATTGAATATCGATTGTGAAACTATTCAAGTTTAATCAAGGGCGTACTTAGAATTACTTCTAGGGGGGGGGATGAATAAATTTTTTTCTTTAATTCAGGCCCAACATTTACAAGTAAAATTTTTGGTAATATTTAAATCTGGTGAATCCTTAATAATTGAAGTTTTTTTTTTAATTCTATGCCGGATCTACTTAGAATCGATTTTTGTGTAGTTTTTTTTTAACACTTGTCAGTGTTTTGAAAGTTACGCTTGTGTTTTATTTGATTTTTCATTAAGTTTAGACACGATAAAAAGCCCAATTCAGTATTCACAGCCACGCGTAATTTGATTCGTTATAAAATGATCCACATTAAAAAAAATTGAAATTTGTATCTTACTAATAATCGATTCCTTAAATACGAATTCAGGAGGGGACGATCGCGCATTCGCCCCCCTAAAATACGCCACATAGTTTAATCAATAGTTTAAACCAAGGCACAGAATTTATTCTGTCTATAGTCTATAATACTTAGAGGCATAAAGTACTTATAATAATTAACAACTGTAATATACGAATCATACGATACTTATCATAAATAGCAAAACAATTATTCCAATGTCCTGATATTATTACACAATATTTAAATCAATGTACTCACTGCATAATAACTGCATATTTATAACTGTAAGTACTTAATATTATGAATTCCTAACATGGTAAAGTATATTTTACAGTACCGTAGCTACCCTCCGTGGCGCCCTGGGTGAATTTGATTTTGGTGCCTATATTATACATAAAACCAATTGTAATTAAATTAAAATTTTAGTATTGGAATATAATATGAAACAAAAATTAACTAAAATGCTGCGTCATTGGCAATCGCCTTTTTCGCCAACCTCTAGTTATGGCACTGATTTATACTTTTTATAATACCTATATTGTGGTATAATATTAAATATTATAGTTAATGTGCTGCCATAAATTCACCAGAGTAGTTTATAACAATTTTCAGTTGCCAACTTGTAAATTAGTCTTATCATAGTATAATCTTTAACTGATAACATTATCTTTTATCTAAAACTCTTGACGTTTTTTCTGTATACGTTTTCTAATGTAAATTTTAAACTTTTGAGTATTATACTAAATATTTTGATTTTATTAAATACATCAATATACAATCAATATATAGGGTTAAAGTGTACATATCAATCATTTAATATGCCAAAGAAGAAGACTGGACAGAGAAAAAAAGCAGAGAAGATGAGACTTCGACAAAAAGGAATTAGGTCTGCTAAAGACAATCTGTCTTTGGCTAAACATCCTTGCAATGCTTCGATGGTAAATTAAATAACATTAAACTACAATGATTGTATTATAATGATAAACAAATGGGTGATAGTTTTTGATTATTAAAACATAGGTTATAAAAACAAAGTAATTTAGGTAAAATATATGAACATTTTATATATTATAAAGCAAAACAAAAGAAAAAAATTATTTGAAAAATATTAGTATTATTGTTTTCTACATGCCATATCCATATACTGAAATAATTTTTTCCTTTTGCTGTAACCATATTGTATAGCAGTAATATTAAATGTTGACTTAATTGTATAATTAAATAATTAAAATTTAAATGTAATATTGCTATACAGTAATTTTTTAAATTAAAATGTGATTTCAGAGGTCAGTACTGCTATAGCAGTACTAAAAATATCACTGCTATAGCAGTAATCGAAAGTGATGTTTTAAGGATAGTCTTGTTGAAAAATAATAAAATGAACTGTCCATCAACGTGTTAATGGTTATAAAGAATACCCATTTGATTAACATTATACAATACATGAAATAAGAAAGAAATATTATTAATTATACAATTTGTTTCAATTTTCTAACATACAATTTTTATTTTCAGGAGTGTGATAAATGCAAGAAGTGAGTTTTGTTGTATTTGGTATACTACACATGGGCAGAACTAGAAAGATGAATAGGAAATTAATATGTATTTACAGAATAACGAAATATATAATTTTAGTAAATACATATGCATATGAAAAAGAAGAGAAGACATATGTATATTAGTTATAATATATTTTAAAATTATAAAATAATTTATAAGTTCAATATTTATTTGACCAATCTTCAATTTAAGGCATATCTATTAAGTATTAATTACTTAATATGTAACATATTTAAAGAGGAGAAAGCCAAAGCTTTTATTTTTTAATTTTTATTAATAATTTATTAACATTTATTTTATCATTTGTTTAAAATATAAATAAATTTATTATTTAATATACAATTTTCATTATTTTACAGTTAAATATTTATTAATTTTATTGAATAATGATTAATAGTATATAAATATATCATTAAAATTATAACTTTCTTTATTTTTTAACCTATTCTTATATTTAAATATAATATTTAAAATCTATACAAAATAATATATACAATATTTACATAAAGTAAATAGATTTATAGAGAAAGAAAAAAGACTTGGAACATTCTAATGATGGAAGTAATCCAATGATACGACCCTTGAACAAATTATAACTTAAAACCATTTTATCTATAATTTATTATAATAAAATAAAAATTAAGAATTATTTAGTGGTTAATACATAAATAAATAAACAAATAAATTAGATATAGAAATAAATAATTAAACACTTAGTCTGGAGTATTATTATATTTGTAGAGTACAACCTGTTTCAAATTTTATAATCAATCATCAGATGTATACAAAATCAATAAATCGTGACATATACATTTTTAATTTTAAACTAATCATACTTTACAAATATAATTTTACTTCAGGTTAAGCATTTATTTATTTATTATATTTTCATAAATAATAATACTATTTGGCTATCTTAACTACCTGCATTTGATGGTAGATATAATTTAGTTACATCTTCATATTTGGTTACTATCATCGTAATATGCACGTATATCATTATACTATTTAATTTTAATTTTGAAATACAAAATGTATTATTAAGGTAAATTTTACAGGAGTGTAGTGAGACAAATCATAATTTACGGTTCGTAGTATTGGGTGGTTCACAGAAAATTCGCAGAGTATAGAGTGTTGCAGAAATAAGAATGCTTTGATGGATGAATGAAGTGACAAGAGAAGATAGTTTTCAGCAAGTGATGTGGCGAAGAAACAAAAGCACTAGGAGTGGTTATGAAAATGAATGTTGAAGGGAAAAGAGGAAAAGGAATATAAAGAATGAGATAGATTGATACAACAGAGAATGAAGACTGTTGGTGTGTGCATAGACGATGTAAAATCAAGATGAGTAGAGGTTTAGAAAAAGGATGGCCAATCGCAAATAGTTGAGAGAAAGGCGAAAGAGTTGAAGAAGAATACAGAATATAACCAAATAATGTCATAATTTATATTTATAACATTTGTAAACCTTTAATATATATATGTTTCTTAAATTAATATTTTAATCTATGAACAATTTTAATCATTAGAACTTCTTAAGTTTTTGATAAAAATATCTTGAGTTTGGAAAAATGCTATTGCTCAGTTTTTTTATATAAATCTCAAGTTTTCAAATTAAAATATAAAATTGAAAAATATTTTAATTATATTTATTACTATGCATTTCGATGATAATATTGAATAACAATAATTGTTAAGTAGTATAACACAATGATAGAAATCTAATACTCGTAGTAGTCGTGATAACCAAAAAATACTTAAATAAATTTTACTAAAACTATGAAAAAAAAAAAATTAACCGTTATTTTAATTAATTTAATGTTCTGGAGCATAATATTTTTCTGAAAGGTTTGGTGTATAATATTAATTATCTAATAATTGATTTGTACGAGTCTATATAAGTTTAAAGTTTAGGAAATATTAATATACTAAGCTAAAAAATTTAATTTAGATTTATATTATTGTTCTTTATTTCCCTAATGTAAACATCAAATAAAATTTGTTAAAATAATTAAATAATTGACTATACAATGAATAAACAATAAAATATTCTTTTTGGTGATTTACAATACATATTTTCTATAAAAAAAATTGTTTTTATTATTCAAAAAAATCACTCAATTAAAATTAATGATTTGGTTTAAAGTAAATGTATTAATTATATATTGAAGTATAGGTTTTTTATTTAACTAATTTTATATTCTTAAGAAAAAATTTAATGTATATTTATATTCATATAAAAAAATAATAGTAATATATTCAATGATATAAAAAAAGAAGTTAATATATTTAATTTCATTATAGAAAACAAAAAAACAGAGCATTTTGTTATTTTTGTCAGAATTTACAACGTTTACCTCAGTGTGCTAGTTGTGGTAAAATTAAATGCCTCATGAAGTCTGGAGATTGTGTGGTAAAACACCCAGGTGTTTATACAACAGGAATGGGATTAGTTGTATGTAAAATATATTTTCAATAAATTGAATTATTTAATAACTAGAAATTTCAATTTTAGGGTGCTATATGTGATTTTTGTGAAGCATGGGTGTGTCATGGCCGAAAATGTTTGACAACTCATGCTTGTGTTTGTCCCTTACAAGATGCAAATTGTGCTGAGTGTGAACGTGGAACATGGGATCACGGTGGTCGTATATTTATGTGCTCATATTGTTCGGCTTATCTTTGTGAAGATGATCAATTTGAGCATCAAGCTTCATGCCAAGTTTTGGAATCTGAAAATTATAAATGTAACTATAATTTAATTATAAAATTTAATTATTTTGGTGAAATTATGAACATCATCAACTATACTAGATGCACAGGATGTTTTTCTGGTGGAAATATCTCCGTAAATATTATTATTTTTTCTTTTGTAATTTTATAGTTCAGAGCCACTTGAAAAATGTAGTATATACATTTTTTTTAAAACATTTTGGCTTAGAATAATTACATTTTAATTTCTATAAAATGGCAAAATAGTTATTTAATTGAAAATGGTTGAAAATTTTTTAAATTACCGCAGTTGAATATCCAATAATAGTTTTTATTTTTATAATTAATATCAATACAGAAAAAATGGGTATACTTTATCTTATACAGTTAGGCATAATGGCTATTGTAATAAATTAGCTAAATTAGGAAATTGTTATCTCTTCCTGAGTATATTGATGGGTTTGTTTATATAACACATTTGTGCGACTTACTGAGTGGTGAATGAATGCCAGTATGTATAATATAGCTTCTATTGTTGAAAAGGTTATCAATTATTAGTATATATTTATTGTAATTGCCATTATAACTTTCCATGTCCACAATTATTTTTAAAACTTACTTTATGTATATCTATGAAACCAATCATTATATAATTAATTTTGATTCTTTAAAATCATCATTTCAACTATTTCACAAATGTATAGAAATTGAATATCCATAAGTTATTTTTCTTAGCTGGTTAGTGATTGAAAATACTAAATTGATATTACTTTTTCATGTAATTTCTTACTGTAAAATTATACAAAAATAAAAATAAATTATTATTCATAGAGATATTTCCATTGTTCTATGCTGAACCACCCTGTGTATATATTAAATCAAATATTTATAAACCATATGCATAAAATTATAATTATTACAGGTCAGTCATGCAATAAGTTAGGACAGTACAGTTGTTTGAAATGTAAGGTTTGTTTTTGTGATGAACATATTAGATGTAAACGTTTTAAGTATTCTGAAAAAGATAGGAATTATCCATGTCCAAAATGTTCTTATCCGACGGCTGAAGTCAGTGATCTATCATTATCATGTAAGTTTATTAATAATAAGTGTCAATTTCATTTATTCACTTTAATAAACTGGTATATAAGTAGTTAATATAATAATAAAAAATAAGTTTTACTAAAATTACTCATTACTAAAATGTATTAATATTTAATCATCTATTCAAGTTTTATTTAAAATTCATTACATTTAGATGATGTCTGATGATGATAATTATTGTACAATTATATCTATTTTACCTCAATATTGCTATCTTTTGAATTGGTTAAATAAAAATATTATAATAAACTTGTCTAGTTTAAATAATTTAATTTACAATTTAAGCTAAGTACATCAATATGGTATGATTACAAGATAGTGAATAACTTGTAAACAATTTATAAATATTTATTGGTTTTCTAAATAAATTTTTAGATACATAGAAAAGGAAAATATAGACTCATAGGCAATAATAATAATAATATAGTTGATTTTTTTGTGTAAATTTTTTATTAAATAGTTAATACTATCATCAGCTGGGTTTTCTACAAAATCAATAAATTGTATAAATATAATCTATTATAATATTGATATGCTCTTAATATTATTAAACAAATAAAACATAAAACCATTAACTAATCACTTAAAAAAAAAAAATTAACTTATTGTTTTTTCTTAAACTTAAGTGTTAATATTTTAATAATATATATTATTTGAACGAATCATAATTTTATATTTAGCTCGTAATCATAAATATGGTCGTCAAACTTATGAAGAAGGTGATGATGATGATGACTCATATGCTTATGGTGGATATGGAGCTAGTAGCTCTGGAGCAAGTCATGGATATACTTATGATGAAGGTACTTGTTTATTATATTATTTCTATCTAGTATTAAAACATTATTATTAAATCTTATAAAACAATTTTATTTTAATAGCTGAATATAGTGATGATGATGAAGATGATGACAATGATTACTCTTCAGACGATGATGATGATGATGATGATGATGATGAAGATGATGATGAAGATAATAATAAAAACCAAGCAAAAGCAAAAAAATAAAATATTGTTTGCTAGTAAATAAAATACAAAATTTATCTATTTTATTAACCAATCTTTATTATTTCATTGATAAACATACAAAATATTAGCAAAAATGTTATGATAACCTATGATTTTTACAAAATGTATTTCTGAAAATAATTATCAATATTATAGTACTGGTTTGAATTTTAATTGGAATTTCTTTGTCATAGTTTTATGTTATTTAATATTAGCCCAGATAAATTTACCGATATTTAACTACTATTTATTTTCATTTATCATATTAACTAAGTTATTTATGTGAAGATTATTAAATATTTATAAAGAATTGTCATGCATATCATAAATAATGCATGTTCATAGACAATATCTAAAGAATAAACAAATTTTTCATTACAAAAATTCTTTATTAAATAAATAAGGTGGTGAACCCTTATATTAATTTTTCATTGTAAATTTAAGGTTCTTTTATTTTACTTATATGAGATAAATTATAATTTGAAAATTTCAACTAATTGACACAAATAGTTTAACAAGAAATGTTTATAATTCAATTAAGAGCATCCACATTTATATGGATTGTTTCTTTGATTTGAATCTGAACCGTTAAAAAACTATGTAAAGTAACTAAATTTACTGATGCATACAGTTAGAGAATGATAACAATTAAAGTGGAATGTTGAGATCTGGTAGTATGATTATGATTAAGGCTTATAACTTAAAGCTCTAAAAAATATTCATATGAACGCTTAAATATGCATTAAAAATACTGAAATATACAAAAAATGATATGTTAATAATAAATAATAAATAAATAATATTATTATATTAATTTATAATTATATTATTATGTACAAATTTTCCCTCATTAAAAATATTTATCATGATTGCTCGCTTATCGATCGCGTCTGTATATGATATAAATAAGTATATAATTTATACCAGCGTTTCCCAAAGTGTGTTCCGCAGAACCTTAGAGTTCCTTAGGACAATGCTAAGGATTCCACCAATTGTAAGTGATTATTGAGAAGCTTATTTTATTTTATACTTGGGAAAAATATTATTTTATATTATTTATAAAAAATTGTGTTATAAACTAATTTTAATAAAGAATAATTATTAACAATATTAACAGTATCATTTAAAACATTTTTTAGAGTGTTGGTTTTTTTTTTTTAGAAAAATTAGAGTTGAATTGGAATTTAAGACAAGGGTTTCACTAAACACCAACAATTTTTTAAGGGTTCCATGATTATAAAAGTTTGGAAACCGTTGACTTATACCATATGAAGAAGAATTAGTTAATTAACATGAATTAATTGCAAATATAAATAATTAATACTATTAAAACTAATTAGGTACTTAATATTATTAAGAAAAAATGTTTAAAGGCTATGGAACTGAAGAATACTTAAAAAAAGCAAACTAGCACTTATATTTCGAAATATGCAAAAAATATGCAATATAACATTTCGTATTTAGCTTCTTAGTTATCTGAAAGAAATTTATAACTCACATAGGTATCTCTAGAACCTCTCAAAAAAAATATGCAAATGCTAGAAGTTATGAACTCTGATTATGATTTATCTGGAATAAGTTTATTTTGAATAGGTAACATTTTATAAATATATTTTACAATAATATTTATTGTGTAGATACTAATTGGTTTCTAGTGCATTTTTTTACTACTGTAATATATTTGTATTAGTTAAATTAATATATTTAAAACTAAAACTGAATGTATTCCTTTCAACATAACTAGATGTTATGTAACTGGTAAATTAAATAAGGCCAACTTTTTTCAAACTAGATTTAGCTATTCCATAGTACTTACATACAACCATTTCCTTCATTTGAAATTAGTTAATTTATGAAAAACAGTTTTATTCATTTTTATTTTTTTTTTTTTATTTTGTCTCACTATAATATATGAATTATATAATTTATATGTTAAGGTGTATGACTGCAGTTGGTGAATGTTAACAATCACCAGTGTAACCAGAAATTGTAATGAATGTTGCCAAAATAGTCTATGCGTTCATACACCGGTGATTATGGACATTTACAACTAGCGTTTGGCAAATATTGACTACACTCGAAGCGCGATAATTAGATAATTAGCGCTATAAGATATTTTTAATACTATTAAGATTTAAAACGTTATAAAACATTTTATTTACTTTTAAACCAAAAAAGGGAAAATAATTGTTTTTATTTAGGTACCGAACAGTGCAATAAATATATTATGTATGTAATTAGTAGTGACCAATGTTTTATAAAATGCCATTGCAAAAAAATGTAGTAAATGGAAGAAACAATATTTTACTTTTTCACTTGTAATAACCGAGGTACTTTTAATTATGCACGATGGATGACGAAAGCAATATAAAGCTTAAAAATATTTTTGTATCAAGAAGACTTATTTAAAAGCCGACAAAATTTGGAGTCCACGATGTTTGTATTTTTTTTGTACGAGTTAATATTAAATTTTGGTTTTCTGTGACAAACGCAATCGAAGCTTCTCTACTAGATTTAGAATGTTTAATAAGTCTTTACGCATATTGAATATTTAAAAAAATACTGAGGGGCATCCCAAAAAAATTTCTACTTTCATACATAAGGACCACCTTAATGTGAATAATAAGAACTACCTTAATAAAATAATTTTTACTTGGCAAGAACTCATAATACGTAACACGTTAAAATTTAATTTTAATACCAATAGAATAATACAATTTTTTGATATTCTTAGTTCACGTTTTTTTGATTACGATTTTAATTTTGAGTATCTTTAATGGAGCAAACGCGAGGCCTAGATAATATTCTCAAACTTCGAGTCCCTGGACCAATGTCCCACCTGTCCTATCTTAGCGCTGTCCGTGGGTAATGGTTGATATACATTGGTGTCTCAACATTTACCGCTAAGCGGTCATAAACCCCACCATATACATTTTTCTTTATGTATGAATTTTTAATGATCACTTAAAATGTGTAACTTACTTAAAGTATTAACCGAATGTTACTCGAAATATTTTTCATTCAATCAGATTATTTATTTTGTGTTTCGAAATTGAAGGACATTTGACCTAATGAGTATGACCTACAAGTGGCGTTTAACTTCTAAAGCTCTTCACGAATCAACTGTTTTTATGATTAGTATTTATTTGGAATGATGGAAAAAACAGTAAATTAATTAATTATCGTTAATGGTGCGTACAAATATAATTATTAATGCATCCAGTTGATTTAGATGAGGAACGTTCTCTCCGTATTTACAGTACCTACTTGAAACGACAGTAAGTGAATAACTCACGAAAAATATCAATAAGTCGTTGATTATGATCACTTTTTCCGTAGATGATAGAATATACCAAGTCGACACTTTCAATATAATAACGCTGATTATATTAAACGTTTTATGTAATTTATGATAATAGTAGTAATAGAATACGCAGGGCTGACCTTAGGTTTTTCGCCGTTAGACAATTTTAATTTACGTTGCTTTATTCAAAAGTTATTTTTATGGACTGGATGCGATTGCACAAAATATAAACATTCATTTTTTAACGATAAACCCGTGTTTTTATTTTAAGAAAAAAAAATGTTTTGATCGACCTATTTTCTTTAAAAAATATAAAAATTATAAAATTAAAATAAATGTTCTGAAATAGTATAAATTGTATTTATAACCGACGTTAATACATTCATTATCGTTATCATACATTAACAACAAGTAATTAATTATACATTGAAAAATGTTATAAATTTAATTAATTTTACGAGCCTTTTCTTGCGTAAAATCGAATTACAATTTTTAATTCAAGATTTTTCATTGCTTATTTTCTAATAGAAATTGTAGTAAGATCATTTAACCGTTATTGATTCATAGAAGACCTTAAACAGTTGTTTATTATTTTTAATTTTGAAAAGTTTCATTTATCTGATGCCACCAACACAAATATTCAGGCCTGTATTTAAGTGGGAGGGGAGGCACGAGTAGTAACATGCCCGGGGGCGTCAAGTCTCAGGAATGGCAAAATATTTTAGCAAAATAGCAAAATTAATTTTAAAAATTACGTACCTACCTAATGAAAAAAAATGAAATAATAAAAAAACGAAAATAGTATGTTTTATTATGTTATAATTTGTAGGTAAATTAAAAAAAAATTGTATTTTTATTATATTATAATTTGTTAATTAAAAAAAGTATTAAACGATTTTCATTTATAAGTTATATTTTAATATTAAAGAATTTCGATTATGAACGAAATAATAAGTGTTATATTATTATTATTTATTTTTTAGAGGGGGGGGCATAAATTATATGCCCGGGGGCGCCAAATTTGTAAATATGGGCCTGCAAATATTGTTAAAACAAATTGGTGTGCTATCACGGAATAAATTAAATTTATTTTGTGATGCTGCAGATCAGAAGCGTATCCAGGAATTTTTTATGGAAGTGGTCCAACATTTTTATTTTACCTGATAATGGGGAATTAAAATACACTATATACTATTTACTATTAAATCGTTGAGTACGTAGAAATTTCAATAGGGGGTCCGGACCCGACCCCCCCCCCTTGGGTACGCCCTTGCATAGATACGTTTGATAAAAAATTGTTATTATTAATAGTAAATTTAAAGACATCCAATGGGAATATAAAGCGAATAAATCAATTTGGTTCATTCGAAATTTGCCGCCCTTAGCGGCTGCCTATTTTACTACCGCATCGGGTCGGCCCTGTGATTACGTAAAAAGTAGGATGGAGACCTAACTTATAAAAATAGACAGAAATCTATTACTATGGTATTTGAGTCCGTGTGGAAATTGCATCGTATCGATTATTTAAAAAAAGCAGTAAGAGGTACGTACGTACGTGAAGGTAGTAACGTTTTTCTAGCCGGTCAATTAGAATCAGCTTAACGTGATATCAGTGTATCACTAATCAAATATATTTTATTTTGTGACTTTTGTAGTTACTGTACCTATAGTTTTGTCTTCAGTTGATGACTAATGTTTTAATTTTAAACGGTTTAACATCATCCTCGGTTTTTGTTCATAATTCAAATACAATTTATACTGTGTTGTGTATGATCTGTATAATATTTCCAGTGTGAAATGGACAGCATACACTCCGTTTGTTGAAGTACATAAAAATGTTTATTTCGATTTCGGACAAATTGACAATATTGAACTTAAATGAAACGAGTGAGTACACTGAAGCCATACATTACGAATTCTTGGGAAGTAATCCCTTGTGTGAAAATCCGCTTTTGCGCTTGTTGTTAAGGTGAAAAAAAAGTCTGCAGACAGAGAATATACCGTTGTTGTTGAGCCAAGCGGAGAGACAGTTCGATGGAGAGGATTCCGATTGTTTTTTATCCAGTGATGACATGACGCCATTCAAGAAACACAACATATATTACAGAAGTAGATGGGCTAGGGTGTCTTCGTTGTTGTTCTGTGGGTGAGTGTTCTGTGGATGAGTGTTCTGTAGTATTCACAAGGAATACTGGTATTTTACGGGAATTGGAGTGTTGTGCAGTGTGTTTTATTTGGCTTGAAAAAAAAATAACTGTTACTGCCTATCAAATGTGTATAATTTACTGTTATTATCGGGTATTTAAATGAAATAAAGCTCATACAAATACTTAATTTGAAATGTTTGATGAGTAAGTTATTCATGTATTTTTAATTTCGTATCACATTTAACTTGTAAATGTTATGTAGGTACTCATGTGTCTATTAGTATTTCATGATAATAAAACCAATCTGCTGCGGAAATAATGTAGACTCTTAACTAGTTAACATGGTATTATTAAAAATTAAAAATCGATTTGTACTAAGTAGTAATATTTATGTATTCAAACAAATTAGTTTAAATTAGAAATGGTAAAATTAGCAGCAGTTATTTAGCAACTTGAGGGATCATGGGTTTTAGAAATGAATATTGTCTTTCAGAAACTACAGGCATTTTATTAGGTTTTAAATATATTCCTATTTGAATAATGATAGTGTGTTATTTTTAGCGTTGTCTACTCGACCATAATAGGAAATTCGTGGTTTCAAGATTTTGTATAATACTAATAACTCGTTGATATGGTCCCACCAGATGTGCTGTGGAGTAAAATAAACTATTGGCTGGTTTTCTTAAGTCCGACACTAAAAGTAGGTTACAAAAGTACATTCTTTTACATAGTTCATTTAATTTGGAATTATTTATATGAATGAAATTGAAAAAATACGTTTAAATATTTCAAAGGTCCAAGGTGTTATGAAATTACCGTCAAGTATGTACAATGCGTCAATACGACCTGAGAAATATATTCGTAATTTCATTTAATCAATAATCAAGCCGTTCCGTGATAAATGGTGAATTGGTAATGGGTAATTATTTCGTAATTTTCGGTTCCGAATATTATCGACTGGACGTTTATAATACCAACAGCGCTACTATATTGTTATCATGTCACCAGTCATGGAAGAACAGGTGGCAACGTGTACGCGTTTACGCCATGAACTGAACCTTGACATTCGCGCGGGCGCGATAACTAAATCGACTCGGTTGGTGGTTATTCGCTCACTGTGCGACGTAGGTGTACCAGTGAATAGGAATGCAAAGATCCGTTTTCGCCGCCGTCCCCACCACCAGCCGTGAACGGTGACTCCACTCCGACTCACCGCCTTGGCCACCTTTCTTCAGTGGGTTTGCAACCCGTGACCGTCGAAGTCCTGCGCGCGTCTCTGTTATCGCAGTAATTGGTTCGTCAGTGTTATTTCATGGTTATATAAGTCATTGTAAGCCAAACAATAATTGCGCGTGAAATAAATAAAAAAAATTTTAAAAAAATTCGCCTACGTGTGCACGCACCCATTCGCGTGACGAACGTCGTGTTCCCGTGTGTTCGGATACGTGCTGACGCATTTTCTGTTTCTTTTCCGAACTTCGTTTTATTTGATTTTTTATTTTCGCTCGCTTCACCGTTTCCCCCTTCCTCTTTGTGCGCTTGTCGCTGCCAAAGCCACCGACGGCAGCTGCTGCAACAGACGCGTATAAACGCCGTTTGAATAACGGGAACTTTGTGTCCACATCGACATTTACGAGTGTTCCGTTGTGTAACGGGCGCAATCGCCGAATAATGTAATTGATTTTTATGGATTCGCCCACCGGTGCTGGTGTTTGTTTGGTGGAAATGAACTCGTCCTCGTCCACAACCACTTTGACCGTCAAAGAGGACATTCCGCTTTTGAATAAGCCTCGGGAATCCAATAACGGCTTCAACAGGTTTGATAACACCATCTTGTCCATATAATACTACAACAACAACAATTACAATGATAATGTCTCTCCAGCATTTGTTCTTGTATTGTTTCCTTCATGTACCTTGATGATACTTGTATCCGTTTTTACATAATCCTACCAATCCGTCCTAGGTTATGCCGCGCTCGGTTCTTTTACATCGTAATTTTTGCCAAAGGAATTAAGATTTCTGTATTACAAGCATCTTCAGAAAGTTATTCAAGTAGCATTCTCTATCAGTTTATTATTTTTTTTTAATTTTTTTTTGCAATTCAATATGTTATTTTTCTTCATTGCATTTTTGCTATACATATGTACCTACCTATTTGCATTGTTTGTCATATATATAAAATATCAACTCTTTCATATTGTGATTGTAAAAATATTAAAATTCTTAGACATTTTTTCTAGAGTAACGGTACATTATAAAGGTCTCTAAAGGTGTTTAAATCTACTAAAATGTTTTATCTTATAATTGTATAAAAATTACTATTTTTACTTCTTTTATAAGTAATATATTTTTTTAATTTTTTATCGTTACCATAATTAACTATATAGGTATTTGTTTAAATTATTTAAAAAAATACATCATCTAAACTCCTATAAGTAGAAATTTTATAATTATATTATGAAATTAAAATATATTAGGTGATATGGTTTCTATTTAATTTTACTTATATTTCAAAATAATTTTATTTTTACATTTAAAAAAGATTAAAAATAGTTTTTTACGGGGTTGTTTATTTACAACATATTTTAAATCAAGTATCATAAATACCATGACTAATAAATAAATTAATAATACATATATTTTTAATTTTTAAATATTAGGTAATAGTTAGGTTATATAAAGATATAAAGTTTTAAAACTTGGTGTTGTTAATACTTAAAGCTGGTTAAGTAACAGTTGCTTTTATTTCCCTCATTCATAATATTGGTTATTAGCAATTACATTCTTTTACTTATCTATCATAATGGTATTACAACATGGATTATAAGCATGAATATACTTGGCCGTATAAATATTGTGTATTTACATTTTATTGAATGCAACAAATTTCTTGGGAATAGTATTGCAGCTTTCAATTTAACAATTGGAAAACTGATAGGCAGTGGTGCAACTAGTATGGTAATCTCTCAAATTTTAATACAGCTTCTTTAAACTTTGGTACTCTCGTTTTTAATTATTGAGAACCTAATATGTATTAGCCTTTTTTATTATATTTAAATAAAAAGTTGTAATACATCAACATTTAAATTTAATTATTGGTTATAGCCCTTTTATTTTGATCCTAGTTGCACTTATGCTACTAAATTAATTTTATTAAATAAAGGTTTTAATTGTTAATTCATGCCATATTGGTTAAAACAAATTATTTAATAAGATTATAAATAAGCAGGGCCGTATTGAGATCTGGTGGTGCCCCTGGCGAATCACTGTGTTTGCACCCACCTCCCCCCCCATCAATGGGAAAGTTGCATATTTTTACAAAAATCATTTGAGATATATAAACCATATATAAAAACATAGTGTACAAGGTAATAATTACTAATAAACTTTAATAACTATTTGTATTACTTTAAAATATAAAGAATTAATGCATTATAATAACATGTAATTTTCTTCAATAATCTGTTATACAATTGTGTTAGATGATTTTAAATTTGTTTTAATATAATATTATAATAGTACTTTTCTTGATTTTATTATAGAGGCAAATTTATCAATGACATTATTAAATTTAATTGTTTTAACTACATATTTTTCATATTTCGTGAAAAATATTACATAAGTAGTGTTGAAATGCTGCACCCCTTTAAGAATTGCACCCTTGGCCCATGCCCTCTTGCCTTGCACTGAATACGGCCCTGTAAATAAGTCATAATATTACATATTTATAACCTTACTATATTATTAACTAGCTAAATCTTCAAATTTGGAAGACATTTAATGGGATTATGTTATATAGTATATACTAACCTTTCTACTATTTGCATTTTTTTTTATATATATAAAAAATTAAATCAACTTAAGCACAATACATATTTTATTTTTAAACAGTAATTATTTTTACTATTTATTTCAAAAGGTTTTTTTTTTGTCATAAATTATAAGGAACAATAATTTTCAAAATATTGGTACTAGTGATATTATGCAGACACTTTATTCCAACTTATGAGGTAGATTTTGTATTATAACTATACATTTGATGAAGTACGATATTTATAAATCTAATAATTGTATTATAAAATGTTGAAATGTCTTGATATATAATAATCAGTATATTAATATATGAAACTAATAATTTATAGCTTAAGGATAGAGAAGATATATGTCTTACCTTTTATCCACTGGTAAATCTAGTAAATATTAATTTATGAACTGTTCTTTGGCATATACATTTTCTATAGTTTTGATTAAAACATATTTTTATGTCATTGGGTTATATTTATTTTATTCTTATTATATTTAGATTTAGATGGTGTAATAAATTTTCAATTTATTATTACTTCAAACAGTTTTGAATTTATAATTTTATTTTATTTAGAATTTTACATTGATAAAGATTAATTTAGATAAATTGTGGTATTCCTTACTTTAAAAAGAAGTTGAATCAATTTTGAATAATAGTTTAATTTGATGAATATTTTTTTTTTAATTTTCTGTCAATCATATAATTTCTTTGATTTGTCTTATTTATAATTTGCAACAATGCTAAATAGGTAGTGCATTATTGGTAAGAGCACATGTGTTATAAAATGTATTGATAAATGTATTATAATAAAAAAATTTCAAAACTAAATTTCATAAATATCTCATAATTAAACATCTGTTATTATTATTCATGTTGTAAAAATTGAAGTATAAATCATAAAAATTGCTTGTTATATTATATTCATGAACAAATATTTACTTTAGTTATTTAAAATGTAATTTATTTTTCGGTATATTTATGTGATAATATTCCTAATTGAAATTTTAATAAATTGTATACCTCTTAATTCAATTATAAAATAAGTATAAATGTTTTTCTTGAATTTTTACGAAATATTACCATTTTGAAAAAATAACATTTTCAATAAATCTTGATTAAATTTATGGTTTTATGATATCATTTATTTGTGTTATTTTTTTTTTTATTTTAATTTTATATTGTAGACATTTTATTTAAATTTACTTAATTTATATTTATATATCCTTCAAAAAAATAAAAATTAAATTTTAATATAAATGCTTTTTGTTAACCTACTTAGCTTAGATTTTTATTTTTTTTTTTTTTGGATTATAACTTTACATTTTAACAGCAGATGAATGAATTAAATGAGTATAATAATTGAGCTTAATAACACTTTTTATAATTTCTATGTATTTTATAACACACTACTTATTACCTATAATTCAAACATTTTTAAAAGGTATAAAGATTTTGATTTTAGGAAAAAAAGTTATCAAAAAAAAAAATCTCAGGAAAAAAGTCCCACAGAAAAAAAGTTCCCAGAAAAAGTCTCCAAATTAATAATTGATTTAAATTCAGTCTTTTATGCACAAACAAAATAAAATATATAATAACATATAATTATATTATATATTATAATAATATAAAATCTTAAACATAATATTATCTAAAAAATATAAGAATGCAATTATTCAGATATAAAAGATCTCTTTCATATATTTTGACCTATTTGCTTTAAAAAATTAGGAATACCTGCAGATTTGGTCTCATTATAACGCTTGCATAAAATGTTCAATCGAACTTCAATTTTTTTACCAGCTTTTGTTTTTTTCGATTAATTTCTCCTACTTCAGCCAATGCCATTCCAACTTCTTGACACATTTTTGTTAGTAATTTTCAAATACTGGGATGTTTAATGCCGACTAGATGGAAAATCTATTGTTCCAGCCCTTGCAAGCATTATTAGTTCTGTGCGATTGTCAACCAGATTTGTCAACCAAATTTATTTTATAAATAAAATAACAAGTATAATGGAAATATCGGTTTATTTATACTGTAACTAGAGACTTTTTCCGGGGATTTTTTTTTAAAGGACCTTTTTCCCAGGGACTTTTATTCCGTTTACCAAAGATTTCATTAATTTGGCAAATTTTAATTTTAGCTCTTAAAATATTTATTTTTTCCTTGAGTGACCCTGCAAAATGTTGTTGCATGTTTTCTTTTACCCATTTAAATTTTCAAATTAGTAAATTTGTTGAACACCTAAAAATATAAAGTAATTTCGCATGAATTAATAATATCTGATGGATTGTCTTCTTTTTAAATAAGACAACACTCAAGTGCTTAGAAATTCAATGTATACAATAAATTAGAAACAATAAAAAAATATCTAACACAAGAATGGTTTATAAAATGGAATTATTCTAATATTAACTATTTATCTATTAATTGTTTAGTAAAAATAATTTATTGTTTCATTATAGTTGTTAGTTTAACATATTTGGTATCCAATCTTCTTATTTTATTTCTTAAAGAAAAATTTGTTTCCCTTGTTTGTTTCAAAAAATAATAACAAAATACCTACTTAAGCCAGATTTGAGCTTTGACAAATTTGTAGTATTTTATGGAGTTGGTGTCCTATTATTTCAGATTGTGACACATTCTCCTGCCTGTTTATATTTTTACAGTCATGACAGAGGAGAAAAAAAGTAAATTAAGGTAGGATCCCAATTTGGTATTTTTACTAATATAATATTATAATAGCCTAACTATAAATTTTAAGTTAGGTATATCAAGACCTAGCTGGGCTAACAAATTTCAAAAAGGGTGAGCAAAATTGAATGAACTTAATATTTACCTTTATTTTTAAATTACCCTCAGAATTACCTAATATTATTTAAATGTATGAATTATTTAGATGAACTATTTCTGTTAGTATATTTGAACAGTTGGAGAATTTGTAATTTGTTAATTTTTACAATAATTACTTGAATTATGGTATCTTTCCATTTACATAATGTAATTGTTAAATTGTTTTTAATATGACCATGAATTATATTGTAATTTATTAATTTAAAATAAGTAAGAATATCTTTTACAGATGCAGTAAATTTGAATATCTTTACAGTTCAGTTATTTAAAACTTGATCATCTTTTATAATAAAATATTTTTTGGAATGCTTACTGATATGTAGGCAAGTATATAATTGCTTAAACCAATGCTTTTAACATTGGTTAAAACCATTTCTGTCATACATTGATATAGCTTGTATATTACTGATTAATTGAAATTTTTTTGTTAAAAAAAAATAAAAATAATTTTAGACATTATACAAATTTAATTTTAATTAGATATTAAATTAAAATACATTTTTAGCTCACCCTTTTTTAATTTTTTGTGTTTGTAGGCTGCTGTTTAAGGTTAGGTGATCCTAACCTTGGCCTGTATTAAACACGACTAACACAAACATTTATTAACTTTTGAAGTTATATTTAGAAAAATAAAATACTACAATGAAATTGTTACCAATTAATTTGAGTATTGAAGATTAAAGTGATAGCGTGTTTTTATTTATAACACCTAAAACTTAGTACTTAGTTTTTAATTGTAGTGATTTGTTTTTGGTATTTATATAGATTTAGCTGTTATTTTTATTTAACATCCACTATAACATATGTTAATTATTTATTAATTGCTTAGCTTTTAGCTTAATTTAATTTGATTGCATGCATTGGTGTATTTTTGCATGTTAAACTTACTAACTTGATTATTGCACTTCATTGCATGAAAATTATTATTATCCCTATTATTATAAATAAAATAAAATATTGAATTGAGTACCTACCTAAGATTTTATTATAATAAAAAGCAAATATTTGAATATATTAAATAAATAAACTATATAGGTATTTACATAATATATGTATCAAGTAAAAGATAAATTTAGTAATTATTTAAACATGCAGCATACCTACTAATTATTTATTATATTTATTATCATATAAAATTTAAATAATAATATTTTATACTTATTATTTTTCTGATATTATATTAATTTAATAATTTTAGTGAAACAATTATTTTTTATCAACTTACTTTCATTTTAAATAAACATACATTGAGGAATGATAAAAAAGTGGAACAAATTTATCACACAAAGGTTATTCGCTTACTGCAGAGGTTCCCAACCAGGGTGCCGCGGCACCCTAAAGTACCGCGAGATTAAATTTAGAGTGCTGCAAAAATATTTGAAATGTATATTTATTTTTAAATGCCTTCATGAAAAATATAGCTCTGTGAGTAATAAAACAGATTATACTCTATGTCTATAGTATAAAACCTATTGTGTATAATTAATTAGGTATATACAATATAATTTTATGAATTAATTATTAACGCATATAATTTTTACATAGTAATGCTGAGATGTTCAATCTATTTTAATTTTTTTAATTTTCATACCGGTTCAATTGCTATCGATTTGATGTGAACGGTTTTAAAGTTATTTATGGTGAAATACTTGTGACTTTATCTTATCTTTTTTTTTTTTATAGCATTATAGGCCATTTAGGCCCTTTGCTGCCAATATCAAATTCTTCCACTCTTCTCTATTATATGCATGCATTAGGTCTCCATGCCAATCTGGTCTTAACTCCTGGATATCTCTTTTGACTACATCTATCCAACGCTGCTTCGGTCTGCCGCGAGGTCTTTTCCTGTTCAAGTTGTTAACAAGTACCTTCTTGACAATACTATTATCCGCTCTCCAAACGTGACCAGCCCACTCCAGTCTAGTGCAGTCCAGTCTAGTCTTATCTTATCTTTATTGTTAATTAATGCTAAATAAAACCGAAGTTACAAAATATAAATTTAAAAATACGATATATTAGTATTGCATATTTAGTATAAACTATAGATATAGTATAGGGCATAGGCTATAGGGTGCCTCCAAATTTTTAGAAAATAATAAAGGATATCGTGAGTCAAAAAAGGTTGGGAACCTCTGACTTACTAGCTCATATAATATTTAATTATTTATAATTATTATAAAAGAACAGAAATAATTATTTATCAAAAATTAATAGATATATGTTAAACATATTAATGATTAATATTTTCTGATATTCAAATATTGATTAGTTTTAATAATCATTGTGCCTGAATTATTGTCCTTGGACTATAAAAAATGTATATCTGAATGAATTTATAAATATAATGCATTTAAATGTAAAGTATTGTCAGGTATACATTTTGTAACAGATTTTGCCAATGGATTTGGCAGAAATGCTTCCGCAAGAAGGAGCTTACCTCACGAACCATTGTCATTGGGAAACAAAGTACCGAAAAGTATTCGCCAAATGTCATTCGCAATCAGAAATATACCATAATTACATTCCTCCCTAAGGTTTGAGATTAAATTGTACATATTTATATATAATTAATTCTAATTTAAATCAATTTCCAGGTGCTTTATCAACAATTCAAGTTTTTTTTAAATCTTTATTTTCTCCTAATGGCTATGAGTCAATTTGTACCTGAACTACGATTGGGATACCTCTACACATATTGGGGACCATTGGTATGTGCTATATTTTATTATTCAAAAACTGTTAAATATTAAGTCTAAATAAAAAAATAATATTTATACTTGTATATTTTACTTAAAATTTTGTAGATTTTTGTATTGGCTGTAACATTATTTCGTGAAGGTGTTGATGATATTCGAAGATGGCAACGAGATGAAGAGGTTAATTCCCAAAAGTATAAACGTCTTATTCGTGGTAAAGATCATAATATTGGTACTGAATATGTTTCATCATCTAAACTTAAAGTTGGAGATTTAGTAAGTTATAGTAAATATTTATTTATTTTTATTTGTAATGTATTTAATTTAATTATAATTTAGGTACTGGTAGAAAAAGATCAAAGAGTTCCAGCTGACATGGTATTATTAAGAACTACTGAAAAATCTGGTGCTTGTTTTGTGCGAACTGATCAAATGGATGGTGAAACAGATTGGAAATTACGCCTTGCTATTGGAGATACCCAAAAATTAGATTGTGATGCACGTTTGTTTGATATTACTGCCACAATTTTTGCAGAAAAACCTCAAAGAGATATTCATAGTTTTATTGGAACATTTAGAAGGGTTAATAACTTAATTTTATAGAACTATTACATTATATTAGAATAAATTGTATTGTTATTTTTTTTTTTACTATTTAGCAAGATAACGGAGAAGAAGTGAGTCTTGATGTAGAAAATACATTATGGGCTAATTGTGTTGTAGCAAATGGTTCAGCACTGGGTGCTGTTGTTTATACTGGTGCTGAAACTAGATCAGTAATGAATAATTCACAACCTCGCAGTAAAGTTGGTCTTTTAGATATTGAAATAAATCAGTTAACCAAGGTATAAATAGTTATTTAAATCAATAAAATTTTAACCATTTAATATAAAATCAATATATTTCAGTTACTTTTTTGCGCTGTGGTTGGCTTGGCCTTTGTTATGATGTGCTTAAAAGGTTTTAGTGGTCCATGGTATCGTTACATGTTCAGATTTGTATTACTCTTCTCATATATCATACCAATCAGGTAATATTGTATTACATAATTATTTAAAAAATCAAAAGATTAAATTTGTATGGTTGATTTTAGTTTAAGAGTAAATTTGGATATGGGTAAAGCATTCTATTCGTGGTCTATGCAAAGAGATGAAGAGATGCCAGATACTGTTGTTAGATGTACAACAATACCAGAAGAATTAGGACGAATATCATATTTGTTCTCTGATAAAACTGGAACATTAACTCAAAACTCGATGGTATTTAAACGGCTACATTTAGGAACTGTCTCTTATGGTGCTGAGTCTTTTGATCAAGTAAGATAAAATATTTCTTTAATTTGTGCTTTGATATAATGTTATTATTAATGTAGGTTTCAGATCAATTAAAAATGACTTTTTGTGGTACAGTTGAACCTACACATAATCGTAATTTATCACAAGGATCCACATCATTTAAAATTAGACGTTCTGAGCAAACTCGTCTTCATGATGCTGTCAAAGCTATAGCACTGTGTCATAATGTTACGCCTGTTATTGAAAATAATGTACAGGGAAATATGTTAGTTTTTGTTTGTTTATCTAAATAATTATTGTTCCATTTATTTTTAATATTTTTAATTTATGGTTTTAGTACTGATAGTCCTGTGGAACTCAGATCTGAAGCAGATCAACATTATATTAAAGAAGGTCTTCTTTCTCGTTCACAGTGCACTTATCAAGCTTCTAGTCCTGATGAAGTATGAACTTCTATATTTATAGGGAGTTTGTAAAGTCATAATGGAAATAATGTTATATATATTTATTATAGATTGCTTTAGTAAAATGGACCGAAGATGTAGGTTTAGCAGTGATTAAGAGAGATTTAACATCACTTAAATTACGTACATCAACTGGAGATATTCTTAACTATACTATATTACAAATGTTCCCATTCACATCAGAAACTAAACGCATGGGAATTATTGTCAAAGATTTAGCTACAGGAGATATAACATTCTATTTAAAAGGAGCTGATGTAGTTATGTCATCTATTGTTCAATATACAGATTGGTTAGAAGAAGAATGTGGAAATATGGCTCGAGAGGGTTTACGTACTTTAGTAGTAGCTCGAAAAAATTTAAGCGAAGATCAATACTTGGAATTTGAAGTATGTATATTTATTTTATTGATGTAAACACTAAATTTATAATTTAATATTTTCAGTCACGTTTGAATTCTGCAAGATTAGCTGTAACAGGTCGTGCTCAAAGAGTAGCAACTGTTGTAGACACTCTAGAACGTGAAATGGAATTATTATGTGTAACAGGGGTTGAAGATAAACTTCAAGTAAATGTTCGTAGAACATTAGAACTGTTAGGCAATGCTGGAATTAAAGTAAGTTGGACATATAAATCATATATTGTTATTTTGTTAAATGTATTTGTTATCAGATATGGATGTTGACTGGAGACAAACAAGAAACAGCTACATGTATTGCTAAAAGTTCTCGTCTAGTCTCACGAACTCAAGAATTATTTATATTCAATCCAGTTCATACAAGAATTGAAGCTCATCAGCAATTAAATGCTTTTAGAAAGAAACAAGATTGTGCTCTAGTAATTACTGGAGATTCATTAGAAGTATGTCTAATGATTGTAGAAAATTATCCATTCATTCTCATGTTTAATAACTATAAATGTTATTTATTTTAAAGATATGTTTGCAATATTATCAAACTGAATTATTAGATGTGGCTTGCCGTAGTCCAGCTGTAATATGTTGTCGATGTTCTCCAACTCAAAAAGCACAAATTGTGACTTTAATCAAAGCACATACTGGGAAAAGAACTGCTGCCGTTGGTGACGGAGGAAATGATGTTTCAATGATTCAAGCAGCAGATACGGGTATAAAATAATTTGCTATGAAGGGTTTTTGAACCATGTCCTAGATTATATTAGAAAAATTAAATTTCAATAATTCTGATTTTAAATTTTAGAAAACTTATTATTTATTTTGTTTATTTTAAATTGACGACATATACTATATTATAAAATTATATTTTTAAATCTTAGATTCGTTAATTAATAGCATTTAATTTAATTCTGTTACGATTTTTTGATGTAAAAAGACTTCAATAATTTTAAGATTTATCCTGGACTTGAGTAAATTGTATCCAGTAATGTTAGTTAAAAACTGATTACAAATTGTAATTAAGTGTATTTTCTAAATTTGTTTTTTTAGGTATAGGTATTGCTGGTGTAGAAGGCCGACAAGCTTCTTTAGCTGCTGACTTTTCTGTGCCTCAATTTTCACACCTTGCTAGACTTCTTATGGTTCATGGCCGATATAGTTATAAACGATCAGCTTCCCTTAGCCAATTTGTCATTCATAGAGGTCTGATCATATCCACTATGCAAGCAATATTTTCAGCTGTATTTTACTTCTCTTCAGTAACACTATATCAAGGGTTTCTAATGATTGGGTAAGATTAAAATTATAAGAAAATTAAAAGAATCTATTAGTTATGTGATTCAATACTATTTTTAGGTATGCTACACTGTACACCATGTTTCCTGTATTTTCCTTGGTACTTGATAAAGATGTATTATCTAAAATTGCATTAACATATCCAGAATTATACAAAGAACTGAGTAAAGGACGATCGTTATCATATAAAACATTTTTCATTTGGGTTTTAATAAGTATTTATCAAGGTAAGTTATATATAAACAATAATACTCGTATAATATTAAATTCAAATTTCATTGATGTTCAATATTTTCCTAGGAGGTGTTATAATGTATGGAGCATTATTTCTATTTGAAGATGAATTCATTCATATTGTAGCAATTAGCTTCACTGCTTTAATTCTCACAGAACTAATCATGGTTGCATTGACAGTACGAACTTGGCATTATTTAATGTTATTAGCTGAACTATTTAGTTTAGCGGTTTATATTTTGTCTTTAATCATACTCAAGGATTATTTTGGTTAGTATATATTTTAAGAAAAACATGCTTTTAAGTAAATAATATTACTTATTCACACTATTATTTTAATAATAATTTTAGATTCTCATTTCATACAAACTGAATCATTCCTGTGGAAAGTTACTGTGATTACATTGGTTAGCTGTCTACCATTATACATTCTAAAATTTTTAAGGAAAAAATTTTCTCCTCCCAGCTATTCCAAGCTATCATAAATAAAAAAAACAGTCAAGCTGAAGTTATAGTTGAGAGAAATCAAACAAAACAATAACAAATATATTTATATATATGGATTTGTAGTTTTTATCAATTCAGCGTTATTATAATCTTCCATTTCCATATATTCTCATTAAAAGTATTTAGCAATTTTATTAGTCTTTATTAAATACATTTTAATTTCATCATACCATTATGATAAGAAACACTATTGATAACGAATAGATGAAGTACACAATTGATAATTTATATTTTAATTATATTATATATATTTTTTTATTGTAACGCTATTATTTTACCATCCAATAATTTTTAAATATAATATAATGAGTTTGCATTAACTTTAAATTCTAAAATCATTTTTTAGATCTCTTTGAATGTATATTGTGTTTAATTTATTGACTTTTAAATATTTTTTTCTCCTTTCAGTTTCAAGTTATTGTGACACAACTGTGTTTCGATTGTCAGTTATTTATATATTATTTATGTTATTTTTGAATTATGTTCTTATCATTGTTAATATTTATCTATGACCTTGATTTATAAGCAAATCAAAAAAGGGCTCTATACTATCATCTTTTAAATGCTTCTATTAATTGATTTCATAAATAACCGTCTAAACATTTTTAATGATTTGAAAGTTATACATTTTACATATAAATTTATTTGTACTAAAATAATTTGAATTATAAATTTGGTGCAGGGTTTATGTTCTGCAGTTAAAAAAAATTGATTGAAAAAATGCTTAGATCTATTTTAATGTATGTCATAACTTCATTATTCCATAAAAAATTTATATTATGATAAAATCTTGATTTTCATTTTAAGATTTGTATATCATACAATTTGGTACAACATTAAATCTTTATAATATAAATCATTTCGGGGTAAGTCTTTTTAAAAGTCTTTATGCACAGAATATAACTTTGATTTTTATATAAAAAGTCTTTATGTTAAATTTAAAATCATAAATCACCTCACTGCTCAACATTGTTTTGAAAATAGATTTTCCCATTTTAATCTTTAAAGAGGTATTTTTCCTTAATATAAATATTTCTCTTACTCTATTTATGGCAATATTTGTAAAGATTTATTGATTAGATAATTAAAATGTTTGGTATGTATTATATATTCATATTTTTTCAAAATTTCCAGGTATAATTTCTCTACAATTAATATATTCTAATTATGACATCTATTTTATAAAATACCTAATAATAAATAAAATTTATATTATATAATTATATAATAAATAAATATATATGTATTATGTATGTATATTGCTGTTATAATTGAAAATTATAGTTTATTTAAAAGTTCCTGAATTAACAATATCGAATTTGCATCATGACAAACTAATATTGTTCCATTTATCTTCAGCAATTTTTGAATTAATTTTATGATTTTAAAATCATGCTTGTAACTTGTCCAAATATTTTATATGATTTCATTTATTTTTAAAACAGCATCGTAGAACTTAATTTATTTAAAATTGTTATTTTTCTTTCTAAAGAGTTCTATGTATTGTAGACGCACAATTATAAATTCAACAATAAATTAATTTATAACAAATAAGTTCTCGCTATTTTTCTTTTAAATGTATTTATAATCTCAAATTATGGATTTACGACTTAATATTTAACCATCATTATTAATGAAATTGAATTATAAAGTGAAATGTATTTTGTTTTATTAGTGGTACTCTTGCCTATACATTTTCTCAATTGTTAGTGCTTCTACTGGTTGTGTTCTTCTATACATTAGATTGTTTTTTCTCAGTTATAATTATTTTTTTAGTTAGAGTTAAATGTCATACTGCTTGGAAATAAAAATCATTTTGTTACCCACCATTTTATTAAAAAATAGCGTATTATATTTGTATTAATGTGATATATATATATATATATATAAAAGTATGTTTTGACTTAATTATTTACTAAGTAATGTTTAAATTTACATGATATAAAATTGTTATGTTTAAGAATATATTAGAAGATTAAATATATATTATATAACTAAAAATATATCAATATGTATATGATTTATTGATGTGTAAGTTATGAATTATGATAATCAATATTTTTGTTTCATTGTATAAAGTACATTGAAATTAAAAACACAAAATATGTTTCATCGAAATGAAAATCAACCTAGTTAATAAATGATATACAGATTTTTTTAATTATCATTGATACTTAAAGAATTGATATTATTGATATTGCATTGACTATATTACATTGATATTGCCTGAAGGATTAGAAAACAATTGTATTACATTTACTCCATATGTGTACATTTTGGAAAAATTGGAATTTTTTAAATTTTTCCTCAATTTTTAACAAAATTATGCTGAATATTCTTGGATTCACTTATGACCAATTAGTACTAAACTATTAATTTACAAGTATTTTAAATCAATCATTGTTTAAATAATTATTTTCTTGTTTGTTTATTGTGGAAGACTTAAATATTTAAAGTTAATTAAGATGTCAAATCATCAAATTGTTAACAAGATTACTTAACTAACTAAACTTATTTATTTTAATTAATTTATTATATCATGGAAATTCCTAGACTTATGTTTATGGTTATTTTCTGATTCTGAATACGAAACACTATTTGTGATTTATTCTATCCAAATATTGATTTATTATTATTTAATAATCTCAGAAATTATGACGTGTAGGTACTTAATATGTACTGATGTATTTATATTTATTATAATCTATCGAACACCAACGATGAAATAGGATTATGGACTTTTGATTGCCGTCACAATGACATACGTTCTGTGCACTCTGAAATGGAAAAATTAAATAATCATCTGAAAGTGAATTTCTATACATAGGTTTGTAAATTACATAAAAATAAGCTTTATAAAGATTCCAATCTCCATTCAACCGCTTCCATTCTAGAACTCAAATTGGGGACGTTATTTTTTCTAAAGGACAAAAAGATAATACACAATTACAAAATAATGAAAGTAACTTATTAATTAAAATTAGAACGTTATTCATAAATTAAATTATTTATTTTTAAAATTAAATAGCAAAGTTTAATTTTCTTTGTTTTCTTTTTCCAAATTTAGAAATAATATCAACATTTATGGGTATATTCTTGTAAATATTAAGCAAAACGAGATCGATGAAGCGTTCCTCTTCTATATTTAAACAAAACCATATCTTAAGGCTCCTGAGAGTAGAGAATGATCACATGTATAGTATTTTGTAACAAGTTATAATATTCTTTATTCTTTTTTGCATTATACATAGGTATTTAAATGTATATTTGAATACATATTTAAATTTTATAAAATATAATTACCTAGTACAATTTAATTAAATAATAAGTTAATAAATATTATCAATTATACCTTGGAAATTGCATCGTGTTAATATGTATTTGTGAATATTTTCAAATTAGAACAATCTTCTATTATTGCTTAATAATGTTTTGTACGTGGAAAATGAACCTTCTATAATATCTGTCGTAGGCATATAGTCAAATCATACTGACTATAGGGTATACAATATACTCGTACTATCATCTACGTCTATCACATCTAATTAGTTATTACCTGTATATATTTATGATTACATTTTTAAAACAATAGTAATAATTAGGCTTAGGGACTTATAGTTCTAAAAAATACACAAATATGCTTCTAAAATTATTAAAATATGCATTATAATATGCATTTATACGCATTAAAAAAAAAAAAAAAAAAAATGACCACATAGTACTCAAAATAAAACGTGTCCATCGGATGTAAAACTCCGAAACAAAACTTTGTAGTCGAATACTCGTAGACTACTTTCGGCATTAGGTACACAATGTTACAAAATACGTACGTTTTATGTATGATTCGACGTTGCGTGGTCGCGAGACGCAAAAATAACTACGGATTATAATCGACTAAACTGAACACTAAATAAATATTATGCAAATGCTAGAAGTCTCTAAGCCTACATATTACCTATTTCATATGATTATCGATTCACACTATTACGGCACAACAATTAATTGATATTAATAGTTATCTGGATCAATTAAGCTCAAGATTTCTTGACCATAGTACACTACTTTTAAAAATATACAGAATATTTTGCCGTCGAAATGCATAACGTTGGATACATATGGAATTAAAGAGACAACACACACTTTATAACAGAATGGCCAAATAAGATACTTGGAACATCAGAGGACTTACTGGCCGAAATAGTTATGTGGCGAAGGTAAGCTTTAATTTAATTATTCGAGTTTTGCATGCTAATTTATCTCACTAATTCCACATTTATATTTGCTACAGGCATTATTTGAGCATGCCGAATGGAAATCGACCAGTATACTTTATCGAAGCTCTAAACAAATGTGATTCAACACGGTACCAATCAGTTCATCGATTTTTGCGTACTGGTGCTACGCTCCTAGTATCCGTAGCTACAAGTGAACGTTCGTTTTCTTCCCTTCATAAGATTGAAAACGTATTTACGTAACAAAACACGAAGAAAAATTAAATTTATTAACATTGTTAAATGTACATAGAGACATAGAAGTTAATTGTGAAGATATTCTTAACATAATAGCTAAAACCTTACGAAAATTAGATTTAGTATTGTAATTTTTTTTAAATTTTTTTAATTTTAAAAAATTATTGTAAGTACTGAATATAGCTTATTTTCATACAAAAATTTCGTATGTTTATTAGAAAAAAGTTCTACTATTCAGCAACTGATTTTTAAAAACACCCCTCCATAACTTATTTTCTGCGTACGTTCCTGACACATGTCGTTCATAATGTATTGCCAACAATACGTATTATCTAAATAGTAAATACACGGTTGTCGTTATAAGATAATTATGTTCGCCCTGTTATCATGGTAACAGTTGAAATATATTAATGATTGTGTGTTGCCTCTTAATTATGAATGATTTGTACCATTATGGACATCATTTTAAAAGTGAGATATTATTATTTTAATAGATCCACTCCGCCAAG